GAAGAGCTTCTGCCTCAGAGCTCATCTCAGCCTCCCCTCTGGCAGGTTCAAGCCATTCCCCTTGGCCTGTCCCTCCATCCGTTGTCCAAAGCCCCTCTCCAGGTTTCCTGGAGCCCCTTTAGGCACTGGAGCTGCTCTAAGGTGTCCCCTTCAGGAGCCTTCTCTTCTCCAGCTGCCCCAGCCCAGCTCTCTCAGCCTGGCTCCAGAGCAGAGCTGCTGGTTCGACCTGTTGAACCTGGCACCTCTGAAGATAACCTGAGAGAAACAAAAGCCCTGTAGCTGTCAGGCTTTCCTGCTGGGCTTGCTCTGTGGTTGTGGGGATGAAATGTGGGGGCCTTTCTGGCTGCTCTGGATCTGCTGTCCCCCAGCTTTGTCCACCCCAGAGGGAGCTGGGCATCTGCTGGCTCCTCCAGGAGCCTGTGGGATGAGCTGGGACATGCGATCTCTGTAACCAGCCACAGCCCCTCTCAGCCATGGGACAATCCATATGCTCAGAGCTGTCATGAATCCTATTTCTCCCCCAGTGAGGTGCAGGAAGCTCGTGTTTCCAAGATGGATTGGAGAAGATGCTCCATAACAAATCCTCTGCCACCGGAACTGCTCCGAGGCTTGCCCTACACCTACTGACTTGGTGTGCCTGGTACCACTAAACTGGCAGCTTTGGAGAGCATACAGGGGAGAGTTTCTCCTTTGCTGTGAAATTGCCTTCAAGCTTTTCATCTTGAGATGTTCCTATCTGGTTCTTGAGGTTGTCCTCATGCATCTGGAATGGCAGTCCTGGGGTCTGCGATGGTCAGGAGTATCACTGGAGAGGGCTGCAGGACTGGGAGTCCAAGAGCCCCAGAGCTCTCCTCCCTCAAGGACCTGTCCCTCTTCCATAGGCACAGGCTGGCTGCAACCACACCAATTTGGAATGCTGGTGGTTGAGAAACTCTGGAGCTGACAGCTCCTGTGCCTCTGATGGACAACTCCTTAGTTAGATGCAGTGAGACCTTTAGACACAGTTAAGTGTAGCCCTAATGCTGGTTACAGAGGTTCTACCATTGCAGCAAGGACCACCAGCCAGAGGCTGGCTCTGCACGTCCCACTGCAAGCCCGGCGAGCCTTTGCTTGCTGAGTCTGTCTGCTGTGGGAAGAGAGATGGTCCATAACGTGTATGTGCCTGAACATTCCCACCCACCTGCCTCCCAGGAGCAGGAA